TCTAAAACTGGGTATGCCTGTAATTGTGTTTAATAATAGAGACATTAAAAAAAAAAAAAAATTTGTCTCAGGAGTAACTGGAGGCTGGTTTTCCAAGGAAGCAGAACACAAACCCTTTAGTTACAGGGGGACATTTTCAATCTACCATTTTTTCTAGAATTTTCCTCTTTCTAAGCCAAATGATTGTTCCCCCTTTTTTATGGCCTTTCTTTTATTTCTTACTTACTTTTTTTTTTTTTTTTTTTTTTTTTTTTGCTCTGTCACCCAGACTGGAGTGCAGTGGCATGATCTCTTATAGAACTAAAATCCTAAAGGGCCATTTCATGTGTGAGGAGTAAGGTCAGAATCAATGATGCTGGATGGAAAATAAAATAACTTGATCTGGTAATGTTTAAACATTTCATTAAAACATCTGTATAGAAGCTTAAATTTCTATGGAGTGTTATCTATCAATATTTTCTCTTATGCTTTTTGACTTTCATGCTTAGAAAATCCATGACCATTCTAAATTTGTTTTACAAGTTTTTAATTTTACTTAAAGTATTAAATGTTATGTCCTTTGAACTTTATTTTGTAACAGGTATTAAGGTAGGCATCCTAACTTATCTGCCAACTTCCAAATGATAGTTAGGATTACACATTTTCCCCAATTTAAACCAAATTTCCATATGCATTTGTATATTTGGACTTTATATTCTACTTCATTAATCCATATATGTGGATTTAAAAATAATCTTCTATTTCAATTAATACAGCATCACACTTTTTCCTACTAACTGAGGAGGAAATTCTCATTCTCTGTGTATTTGAAGGTTTCCTGAAGCCTGAGCTAGCCGCAGTATTGCATTTGGCCTCTAGAGGGGGATGTTACACAAATGGAATTTGATGGTCAAAAACAACCAGATCTTTTTGAAGAAGAGCTTTTTGTTTTACACGCTGGGTAAACTTATCCACCTCTCTGTCAGAGTGTCCATGTGGCTGAATTGTTTCCAGAAAAGACCTCCAGAAAATAGATTCCAGTTTCTCCACCGCTCAGACATGAAGCCCACCCTCATCTCGGTGCTTGTGATAATATTTACACTCAGTGAGTAAAGCCTCTCTTTAATCTATTTTTCTGTAGTCTTCTGATTTAGAACAACGTTAATGAATATCATCCCCAGTATGTAAGGCTCGTCCTGATTCATAATTGTTATTATAGGAGAAACAAGAGCCCAGAGAGTGACTCAACCCGAGAAGACCCTGTCTGTCTTTGAAGGCGCCCCAGTGCATCTGAAGTGCAACTACTCGTATTTTGGGAGTCCTGAGCTCTCCTGGTATGTCCACTACCCCAAACAACGCCTCCAGTTACTCCTGAGACAAATCCCTAGAGAGAGCGTCAAAGGTTTCACTGCTGACCTTAACAAAGGCGAGACATCCTTCCATCTGGAGAAACCATTCTCGCAAGAGGAAGACTCAGCCACGTATTACTGTGTTCTAAGTGGCACAGTAGCTGGTTTTCCAAGGAAGCAGAACACAAACCCTTTAGTTACAGGAGATATTTCTTTGTAAACTCTCTGTGTGGCCACAGTGGGGCATTCTTTCTCCAGATATTAACATTAATTTTGTCCCCTAGATATTATATCATCAGCTGTCAGTTAGCTATAGGATTACCTCATAATTTTTTCCAAAAAATTCTCAATTTCTACCCTGCTTAAATTAATTTTCAAAATAGTAGATGTATTTATTTTGTCTAGTAGTACTGGAAACATACTTTTGAAATAAAAACTATATTGCATGGCATAAAAAGTATCATTTTCTTGGTCCAGAGGTCCTGGCCAGGCTTCCATGGCACAGTCTTACCTCTTCAGCTCCTCTGCTTCCCCACATGATCCCTGCATGTGGTTGTCACCGTATACCTGAGCACAGTTCCTTAAAGTGCTCTGCTCTTTCACGGCTTGTGATTGTTCATCTTTCTGTATCTATTACCTTTCTTCCCATGTGTTTCATAGATTGAGATAGGAGTATCTCAGTTAGAGTCTAGCCAGGAAAAATGAAACCCAGTAATTTGAACAATGAAGTTTAATATAAAGATTTATTAAATAATAATGAGTCATAACTGCTAATGGGTAAAAAGAATATAGGAACGCACATGTAAGCAGAAGTTCCCGTCTCTAGGATTAAGGTAGAATCCTAGGAAAGAAACACATTGGAATAAGCATGACCATTACCCCTCCTGCCAAGGCTATGATTCAGGTCTCGTTGGGAGTGGGTAGCTGCAGGCTGCTGGATGGTGGAAAAGTTTGCTGAGGTGCCAGAGAAAAACACTGACAAGCAAAAAAATACCTACTAGGATTCCAACACAACTCATAGGCAGCCTACAAAACAGTGCTGCTGAACTTGCTTGTGGTGGTTGTGAAACTTGCCAAGAAACCACCTGTCAGGCTGCCATGAACCTTACTGGAGCGGGGTGCCACTGTGTGTCCCACAGGCCAACCAAGCATGTGGGACAAGAAGTGTGGAAAACATACCAGAACCAGGAAGAGAAGTGTCATCCTTCTGCAGGACGCTTCCAGCCCCCTCTGCTGACAAAGCTTAATATCAAATATTTAGAAGTTCCAGATCCAGTTCACAACTAAGGTAATGAGGGTGGATTTGGAGCTGAGAGGTAATACATTGCTAACTGTCACACCCTATCCCTCAGGCTACTGATCTTTCATATGCATTCCTTTTTTATTTTATTTTCTTTTTTTGAGATGGTGTCTCATTCTGTCGCCCAGGCTGGAGTGCAATGGTGTGATCTTAGTTCACTGCAATCTCCACCTCCTGGGTTCAAGTGATTCATCTGCCTCAGCCTCCCAAGTAGCTAGGACTACAGGTGTCTGCCACCATGTCCAGCTAATTTTTGTATTTTTAGTAGAGACACGGTTTCACCACGTTGGCCAGGCTGGCCCCAAACTCCTGACCTCAGGTGATCCACCCTCCTCGGCCTCCCAAAGTGCTGGGATTACAGGCATGAGCCACTGCACCTGGCCCATATGCATTCCTACATGCATATTTGAACTTCCAAACAACAATGAATTGACATTATGTTTCTACCTAACAAGCTAAAGCTGTCCTTGAACAAGTGAAGTTTTCATTATTTCTCCCAAATGAGAGGAACCATAGTCCCAACAACCGCTGTATGAATCTCTGACTACATTAGCCACATCTCAAATTCAGAGGAAGTTCCACTGAATATGCTGTTATATACAGACTAAATTATAAAGTTAATCTCCAATAATTTACATATATAAGAATTATGATAAGAAAGAGAGAGAAGAAAATGGCAGCATATACAAAGCAACACCTACATATGATGAGCAAAGAGAAAATATAGAAAGCTACTACATTCCTTGATTCCAGACTTGGTCCTGAGCTTCAATTGATATAGACAGTTTCCTTCTCTTGTTACCTGTTTCTTATTTCTTCTTGTTACCTGTTCCTTCTCTTCTTACCTTATTCTTCTGCCCTCAGCCACATCATCAGTGGATCGGGGTTATTTTCCTGGTGGAGTGACAAAAGTCTCCATTCTCAAAGAGTCTGAGTTCTCAACAGTCCTGCCTTTTAATTTGTTGCTATAGGTTTCCCTTAAATTTTACCATTGGGCATGAAAGTGCCAATAGGCACTACTTAAAAAATGCCCTGGGATTCAGATGTAGCTCTCTCTATACCTGTTGTATAGTAACATCTCAATTCCCCTTAGTAATTGGTATCAATAACTCCAGCCAGTAATCTCTTTTCCTACTTGTTTGTTCAGAGGCATACATAGGACAAAATGGTCACAAAGCAGTGCCATCTTTCAGTGCAATCGAACCATTTTGTTTGGTGTCCTGGTAGACATAGTCTTCCTTTAGAGAATAAGACCTTCGAATGAACACAGCTCAAAGTCACAAAGATGGAGGCAAAAATTCTGCCAAAGGGCTACTGGTAATAGGAGTGAGAGAATCCATTCTCAGGACCACTTCCTTGATGTCTGATCCATCCATTCTGGCTATAAGGCGGACAACACCATATAATGGTTTTCGATGTAAACCAGATACTGCATCTTGTAAGATAGAACCCTATCTTTTCAGGGCGTCTTCAAACTAGTGCCACAGCTCAATCAATAAGCCATTCCATATTTCAACAGGTCAACCACTTGTGCATTGCAAGATAAGTGATAAGACTATATGATTCCATAAGCATGTACAATTTTGCAGTAAAATTAGTTCCTCCATCAGAATAAATACTGTGAGGATTATTCTGATGGTGAGTTAGGCATTCTGTAAGTTTATGAAGAAGGGGTCAGCAGAGGCATAACATACAAGGAAGACAAATTCATATGCAAGTGTATGTGTCTATTTCAGTGAGGACATATCTCAGTCATCTCTATGATAGAAGAGCAATCAACAGGTGTCTGGTTGGTTCCCTAGGGCATGACATGATTCGAGGAGCTCAGTATTAGTCTCTGCGGTTTACGGATTAGGCACTCAACAGTAGCATTAGCTAAGTTAGCCTTAATAAGGAGAAATCCATGCTTTTGAGCTCAAGCATAACATCCATCCCTGCCAGCAGGGCCACTTTTTTCATGTGACCATTGAGCAAGCACTGGGATGGCTGGGGAGAATGTTGACACATCAATGAAGGGCATCATTGTGTCCATTATAATAGTTTCTACTGCATTTGTTTTCCCTTGGTCAGTATTCACATTGAGCAAAATTATCTTGAGAGTCTTTGCTCATTCTGAGAGGTCCATTAGGATACCTCTTTCCTAAATTCCCTTGTCATCCATCTTTTAAGCCTATTCCTTCTAGGTTTCTTGCCATCTGACTAAACCATCAGCAACTCCCCATGATTCAGTGTAGATCAGCACCTCTGGCCATCTTTCACCAGGTAATTTGGACAACCAAAATGTACCACTAGAAGGAGTATGGAACTCCCTAGGAGGATACAGCACGGATTACAGAAAACGAGACAATAAGAGAAGTTGGTGTCAAAGGAATCTGAGCCACCTACTCACGGAGCTAACTTGCACCTTATGGATCTGCCTCAATGTGGTCTCTTATGTACAATTTCCACTTGATGATCGATTGCTTCTGGGCATGCCCAATATTACAGCTGATTAGATCAGACAACACTTGGTTCTTGGTCATCTATTTTTCCTGAATGAGACATTCAGACTTCACCAAGGTAAACTAGCAAGACAGAAGCTGTTTTTTAAAGGAGAATAGTTATTTATAGAAAAGGGAAACTATGTCCCCCAACTACTAGAGGACTATGCTGTGATTCTCCTATTGGTGTTTCCCAGAGTCTTCATAGAGCATTCTTACTTTCCATGGAAACTTTGAATATCATTGTTGGATTTGCTGAATCATAAGACCAATGTGGTGAAACGGATTGCACTGAAACCTGAAATTGTAGAGCCTCCTGTTGCTCTGGTGTCCACTGAAAACTGGTGGCTTTATAGATGACTCTGTAAATAGGCCAAAGTAGTACACCCCCATGTGGTATTGATTGCCTCCAAATTCAAAATAGCCAATCACATATGTGCCTCTTTTTCTGTGGTAGGTGGTGTGGGGTGCAGCTACATGTCTTCCACCTTGGAAGAGATGTCTCAATGTTCTCTGGGCTGTTGAACCTCTAGAAACTTCACTGAAGTGCCAAGTCCTGAATTTTTGTGGGGTTTATCATTAAAGGTATTGATCTTCGACTTCCAGCTCAAGAGCCTCTTATATTTTAAGCATGTCATGACTTCTGGAGCTACTCGCCCCCTCCCTAACAACCCTGCAATATGTTCTGGTAACCATCACACTATATTAAAACTTTATCTTATCTCCTCTTCCTATTGAGCACAATGTTCCAGAGAAGAGCCATTGTGTTATCTCTGGCTTTTACCTGACCTTCTAACACAGTATGGAGCACACAATATGTACACTGTAAAGGAATGCTAAATAAATTCATTCAGACAAATATAAAAATTAGCAATCCTCTCCTATGAGCATGTGAGTCGATCTCCACTAATGTGATTTCACTAGTTTCTTCAGGGAACCATGTCAAACTGATTAATATAAGCAAACAGTATGTTCATCTGGGCAAACAGATGCCTAATAAGAGTTTGCTTAGTTGGAAAAATAGCTTGCTTATGAAGACAATAGTAGTATTATCAGTAAAACCCACCTCAAGACTTTTGGTACATCCTTCTGCCAATCCTAAACTTATATGTCGTGAACTTTGCCCACTCCAAACTGGTTCTCAGCTTTGAAATACCTACCTTAAACTGCTTGAGAACAAACAACACCCTGTGAATATTGCTCCATAACTTACTTATTTGAGAAATTTCTAATGTAAAATATAAAAGTTAAAAAATGGAGAAAATATTTGAGAACTAGAGCTAGACAGTGAGTTCTTAGACATGAACCCAAAAGTTCTTTTATTGAAGGCCAATTTATCAATTTTTTCTTTAAAAATTTTTTTTCTATAAAAGAAAAAGTTGATAAATTGGTCTTCAATAAAATAAAACCTTTGGCATGGTGGAAAGACATTGTTAATAGAATAAAAGGCAACCTATAGAGAGAGAGAAATGTTTATAAATCACACACTAGACAGAGGTCCTATGTCTAGGATAAATAAAGAGCACTCAAATCTCACTGTCAAAAACAAACAAACAAACAATCCAATTAGAAATAGAATAGATAGTTCACCAAAGTAGAAATATGGGTGAAAAATAAGCAAATAAAAAATGTTCAATATCATTCTTCATTAGCAAAATGAAAATGAAAATCATAATGAGATATCACTATAAACATATTAGAACAGCTAAAATACAAAACAGTAATAATACTAAATGTTGGTGAGTATGTAGAGAAATGGAAACTTTTATACATTGCTGGTGGGATTGTAAAGTAGTATAGCCATTCTGGAAAACAATTTGGGAGTTTTTTATAAAACTAAACATGCACTTATCATATGACCACACCATTGTGCATTGAACATCTATCCCAATAACATTCACATAAAGTCTTATACAACATTCGCGGTAACTTTATTCATAACTGACAAAAACTGGAATCAACCTAAATATTTTTCAGTGGGGGAATGGTTAAGTAAACTACAGTAATTCATACCATGGAATAATATGAAACAAAATAAACAAACTATTGATACATGGAACAACCTGTATGGGTCAATTCCCAAAGATTACATACAGTTTGATTCCATATATATAACGTTATAAAAAATAACAGAGCTATAAGAGATGGTTGCTAGAGGACAGAGATTGGGGATGATAGGGTGTTTGTGCAGATAGAGGGTTAGGATGAGAGAAATCTGTGTTGGTGGTTATATGAGATACAATCAAGAACCACACACATGTATGCATGGACACACAAAGAGAAAAGCACAAAAATGGTGAAAATGGAATAATATCTGTAGTTTAGTTAGCAGTATTTGAACAATGTCAGTTCCCTGGTATTTATATTGCATTTCAGTTAGATAAGATGCCACCACTGGAAGAAGCTATGTGAAGAGTACATAGGGTTCTATAAACTATTTTGTCAACTGCTTATGGATTTATAATAATTGCAAAACAAATACAGTACTATAGTTTCAAAAGTTGCATTGTTTACTATCACCACCAATCTTATCAGCAAAACCACTAAGAACTGACAAGGTGTCAAGCCCAGGGTAGTGGATGCAAATTTTCCAAAATTCTAATTTTCCTTTGGAGGCTCAAATGTTATTATTGGCAACAATCACTATTAGTTGTTTTCCTTAAAATTGCAGGTTCACACTTTATCATTTTCAAGAACATATCTTCCAGCTACCCAAATCTGTTATTCTATCCCTCATGCTTTCAAGTAAGAAAAAAAAAAAAGTTATATGAAAAAACAGCTAGTTTAGCTCACAACTCAAACAATGCTCCAGTGCTTTCCTCTCCTGAGACACCACTGTGTTAGTACACCACAGATGAGCTTTATGCGTATGTCCTATAACATCACACAGAATATTAAAAAGGTGTACTCTCAAGGGTCAAGATTTAATTTTAAAAATTAAATCTCGTGTGAAGACACAACAAGAAGGCAACCATCTATGAGTCATGGAGAAGGGCCTCAAAAGAAACCAAATGCCAGCACTTTGACCTTGAACTTGTAGTCTCTAAAATCATGAGAAAATAAACGTTTGTTGTTTAAGTCATGCAATCTGTGATATTTTATTATGGGAGCCCCAGTAAACTAACACAGTACATTCATAACCAGCCTACTGAGGAGATTGATGTGGGCACATGGCTTGGGCTCCAACAATTGGATGAACTGTTCCCTAATTTTCACTCAGGATAGACTTATGAAAAAAAAAAAAAAAGGGAAAAAGTAAGTTTCCTTTTTGAGAGTGGTGGTAATTGCAACGAGATAGAGATGAGAGTTTACAGAGCTGGAAGGCAGTGGAATTGTAGCTGCATACATTGTCCTTCATGAACAGTCTTGAAGAAACTACATGCAGTATCTGGAGCTCAGGAGAGGAGACAGCGGGATATTCAGAGAAGTGGTTCTCTGGAGTGATTTTCTGTATTGCTGCTGACTATTGAGTTCGGTTCCGAAGCAAATCCAATATTCATTAATTTATTCCTTTTCTACTTAGTTCAGGCAGGTCTATTTCTGTTGCTCACCAATGAAAACCCTGACTTGTATAAAATCTCATTCCAGGGAAAATTTTTTAAAAGGAAGCTCATAGATACATGATCAGAGGTTATAGTAACAACAGGGAATTTAACAGTGCTTCTCAGAGGTAGTCTGCAAATACTGGGCACTAACCTTGTTTCGTAGTTGTGTTCTTACCTGAATTGAATTGTATCTGTTCCTATTCTAAGTTAGAACCAGAATTCAGTAAAGGCAGAGACTGGAATAGCTTTGTAATTTCCTCTGAGTCAGCTCTGAACACACATGGCTGATCCAGAGCACATTCTAGCAGTAGGATGGTGTTGCCATCACAAGATGGCAGTGCCTCCCTCTCCTCAGACTAACTTGGCTTTACATCAGCCTGTCTGTGTTGAAAGCAGAGGATTGAGCTTGCCTCTGACTGGCTAGGCAGGAACCTGAGACTAGGGGACAGAAGGACCAGAGACACACCCAGTAAAGAGAGCTTTCTCTTGACTGAGGAGCCTGGCTCCATTTCAGGTCTTCTGTGATTTCAATAAGGAAGAAGAATGGAGCCTCTCCTGGTGTCTTTGGTGATTCTATGGCTTCAATTGGCCAGTGAGTTGGGGTTTTTGGTGATGGGCACGGCAAGTCTGAAGTTTAGAGCTGACAGGACTGAGGGGTAAAACGTTTTTATTAATTTGGAAATGTAATTTGAAAATGCCATGACTGACTCCTGGACCCTGACCTGTGTTTCTTCCTAGGGGTGAACAGTCAGCAAGGAGAAGAGGAACCTCAGACCTTGAGCATCCAGGAGGGTAAAAATGCCATCATGAACTGCAGTTACAAAACTAGTATACGCAGTTTACAGTGGTATAGACAAGATTCAAATAGAGGCCTTACCCAACTAATTTTAATATTTTCAAATGAAAGAAAGAAATATAGTGGAAGATTAAGATTCATGCTTGACACTTCCATGAAAAGCAGTTCCTTGTTCATCGCGGCTGCCCAGGCAGCAGACACTGCTGCTTACTTCTGTGCTACGGAAGCACAGTGTTCACCAGGAGCCTGCAGCCTCTACGCAAACCCTGCCAAAGCAGCTTCTTAGAAGCCCTAACAGTGGGTAGAGTTGGTGGTTATGTCTTTCAGTGAAGAAGAATCTACAAACAGCTGGCAAAGTGTAAGGGGAACCCTTTCAAATTCATGACTTTTTAAAAAGCATCTTGGACTAGGGGAAAAGGCATGAAAGTTGGAATGGGAAATGGAAGTGCCAGGCTTCGTTCTGCTGATCCTGGCTATGTAGCGACCTGGTCAGTGTAGCAGCCTTCAATTTCCTCACTTGAAATGAAGAATTTAGATCAATGAGCCCAAAATATTACCTAAGTCCTAATTTTATTAGGGAAAAAAACCAATCACTGGGCACTTGTGAAAGAGGAGGAAGGCTGCTCAGTTTTAGAAGGTCACATTTGTGCTATGTGCAGCCCTCCTAAGACGTCAGTGGGTCTTTGAGATGCATGAGATGGTTCTTACATTTCTCTAATTCTTGTATAAGAAGTAGTAGATTCATTAAGCATTAGATTTGGAAGGTGTCCTAGGACTCTCAACCAAGCTTTTCATTTTAGAGCTGAGGAGAGACACCATTGCATAATAAGACAAAGATCTGAATTTTCAGAGTGATATTGACAAATATCTGGATCTGATTTCACCATTTATTAGTTGTATGATTCCCAAGCTTCAATGTCTCTATTAGGTAAAATGGGAGTTTATAAGAAAGTAATAATTTTTTTCCATCCAAAGGAAAGGTAGGTGTTCACCACTGCCAGGTCCTAAAATGCTGTGTTTTGAAAGCAGGCATTTCTAGTATCAAATACATAACAGTTTTTCAGCCATTTATTCTTGCTTCTACTGAGAAATAAATGCTGACTCTAGTTTTCTTGACACAGCTTTGATACTACCGAAAGTGTGTTTGTAGAGAAAATTAGAGCATTTGCATTTAGGAGCATGCCTTGGTGAGAAAAGTGGGAGAGCACAGGGAAAGGTTGTATAGGACAGTGGTTCCCACAAGTCAGACCTTGATCCATCAATATCAGCTATACCAGAATCACTAGAGCATCTTAGAAGATCTGGACTATTAGGCTCAATTCTGGCTCACTCAATCAGTCTCTGACAAAGTCATGAATTTCAATTTTAATGAATGTCTTCAATACAGTATATGTAAGAGATTGGCTCAGATTCACATTTTAAAAACCCAAACAGTAATGTTTTTAACAAGATTGAGGTGTTTTTTTCCCCCCATACAAAGGAGCTTTGTAATATGCAGGGCTGGTGAAGTAGCTTCATCATGTTACAAAGGAACAAGGGTATTTCTAGCTTACTGTTTTTCACTCTTAATGTGTCACTCTTTCACTTATACTTTCAAGAGACTGCCAGAGATTCTTCCACTTTATACATCTTCTAGACTGAAAGAAGGAGAAAGTCAAGGGCACAGGTACTTGCTGGCTGAGTCAGCCTTATCCAGAAGCTCTGTCCAATGTCTTCTCCTTACACTCATTTACTAGTGTTATTCCACGTTCCCACCTCCTCCCATCTGCAAGGGAGGCAGGATATCAGGATTATTATCTAAGTATGTTTCCATTTACATCAAATGGGGGTTCTATTAGTAATAGGCAATAATGAACATATTACAGACAATCAGAAGTTTCTGCCAGACCCTCAGTTTAGGGCATATTAGAACTCATACAATATTTTTTGGTTCATAGTTATTTTTGAATGACCATAGCCAATGTATTTCCAAGTTCTATTGTGTGTACCACCTATTAGGTTTTGCAGAAGACATCACAACCTCTATAGCCTAATTGACCTCCATACCCTAATTTAAAATCCTCCCTAATCCCTTGCTCCTCTGCCCCCAGCACACTTGACAGACCCCATCACTTCTCAGTATAGTCCTTTGTACATGGTGAGGGTGACTCTTTTAGAGCGCAAATTTGACCATGTCAACCACCTGGGTCCTCATTAGTTCTTAGAGTAGAAAAAAATGGCTTCATGTGATTTACAAAACTCTGCATAATTTAGGGTTTTAAGGCCTCTCCAGTCTCTTTCCACAATATGGTCCTAATTTATTTTTTTCTTCAATACTGGTCCTATCTACGTTTCTTGAAAGCACTTTGTTCGTTTTATATAACCCCCTCAAAGTGATTTTAGGATACTGTCTTACTCTTTAAAAAATTTCTTTCTCAGTATCATATTACACCTATTTTGAAAGTGACCACATAATTGGGAGTAAATCACTCTTCAGCATTTGCATAGCATTTCACACACTTAAATGAAATATTGGTTGGCTATTTGTTATTTTCTTCCCTTATTCCTTCCTGTCTCTACTGTTAAACACAACTATCGGCATAAAGGAGGTTTTTAATACCTATTTTTAGATTGCATTCCAGCCTGGGCAATAGAGAAAGACTCCTGTTCTCTCTTCCCCTTTCTCTTTCTTTCAAAAAAAAAAATTCTTTTTTCTTCTGTTGAAAGTAAAACCCAGTGAATTCCTATTTCTTCTTGTGCATGTGCTCAAGAGTCAGTTACAGAAGAAAGCTCAATAATGCTCTCTTAGAATCGTGGACCTCTGCCTTAAGTGTGCATTTTCTCCTTTTATTTCTTTATTTAATTAATAACTGCCTCTATTATTACTCTATGTGCTCCTTAAGGGCAGGGACCATTATCTGTGGTGCTCAGCCTTGAATCCATCATACCAAGGCATCGTAAGCACTAAGATAATCAATTTCCCTCTTCTTCCTTTCTATTAATTTATTTAATATACCACCTTTATTTTAGCCTCATCAAAGAGTTATAATAATGTTGTAGTGAAAGAAAATAGAGCTGAGTTTTTCAAACTGCAATCCATGGATATTTGGAATTGTGTGAACAAATTGTTGGTGTATAATCGGGGTCAGAAAACTATGGCCCAGCATTCAAAACAAGCGGCCACCTGTTTTTGTAAAGTTTTATTGCAAAATAGCCACGTGCATCTGTTTACACTCTGCTTATGATGGCTTCCTTGCTATAACAGCAGAGTTTAGTACTTGCAAAAGAGAGTGTACGATTTCAAAGCCTAAAATATATATTATTTGCCCTTTTATAGAGAAAAGTTCACTAATCCCTGAGGTATAGAAATTAAATGAGAATTTTTAGATTTGCAATTTTCTGTGTGATTAGGACAAAATAAAATAAAAAAGGTATATTTCTAATTATCTAGATAACTAATAGAATAGCCCCCTTGATTTTGATGATTTATGTCATTTTTACCAAATTAAGGGCAAGTGGGATAATTATAGTTTACAAATGAAGACATTGCAGCTGCTTAAATGGTGAAAAGTTTTTAGAAAATTTTGGTTATGATATAGCACACAGCACATAGTGCTACAGATATGGCACATAGTACTACAGGTAGGCCACACTCCCAAGAACCTGCAATGAAAGAGGATGTATTGCAAATATTCACTGTTTGTATGTATCAATATGTAATTCAATAGACATAAAAGTAGCAGTAAATACAAAACATATTTTTTTTCAGTGCTGAATTCTTGGGTGCTTCATTAAATAATAAAATTGTATAATGGTGACAAACATGAGTATTTCTGAATAGGAAAAGTGAAGAAAAAAATCCTTGTTATCACTACTCACAGTAACTCAGACAATAGTACATCAAGCTTCAAATAACTTTAATCAAGTCAGTTATTCAACTATACACATCCATAGCTTTATTTTAATAAGCCTATATTAACCCTTTAGTTTCAGTGAAAAATGAATTCTCACACTAATGTTTTAATTAGAATTTTATTGATTTTACATTTTGTTTGCATTTTTTTGTCTTATTTGATAATTGTATAAAACCTATGAGCTTAAAAAGTTGATACTAAATTTTATTGTTGGGAATACGAAAGCACCATAATATTAAAAAATAGTCAGTAAGACAGTGGCCCCTTATAAGAAGACCTGCACCTTACTTGATTTTGTAAAACACTGAATGTACCTGCTAGCAGGTCCTGGATCTCCTCCTAAATGGAGCCAGTCACACCAGGGACCTAAGACGCATCTTCCCACAGACTGTCCTTCATCAAAGATAATTTTGTCCACCAGACACAGCCATTCATTCGTTTTTTTCCCACCAATTTTAAAGGTTTTCTTTTTTTTTTTTTTTTTTTTTTTTGCTTTTCTTATGAGCTAAAGACCTGGAAAAAGGGTTGCTGATTCAATTCCGATTCAATTTCTGATCTCAGGAGCACCAAGTGCGGCTTGAGAAACGGGACAGAAATGACTCTGATATGGTGTGGTAAGGACAGAAAATATGGTGGGAAAAAAGGAGAGCACTAACTCAGCTCGGGAATGGGAGACTGTTTTCACATGGAGTTGATGCACTGGTTTTCAAAGAATGAACAGGAGTCGTCCAAGTGAAGGGGAGTGGAGAGAGGGAAGGGCATTCTAAGCAGACATGCTCACCCCCTGGTTTCGAGGGACCAGTGGGGAATATGCCGAGAAGAAATCTCACAATATATATATTTTTATATTCTCAGGATATCCTAAGATGCCTAAAACTAAATTACCACTTGGTATGAACACATTAGATGCTGGGGCTGGGGAGATTTAAGGGAGTCATATTGCTCTGTGCCTTAACGAAGGTAACAGAAATCACCCATTACCCACACGGTGAAGTCAGCAGAATGTTTGGTCCGCCTTCCTCGAGTCCCACCCTTCACCTTGGACACCGTTTTCCTTCTGTCTGCAGGTTAAGTCGCACTCCTGGGTGAAAATGAGCATCATTCCGAGACGCAGCACAGGCTTCAGCGACATAGAAGAGCCGCAAGAGGGCGCTGCTCCCTTCAGCTTGTGGTTTGACAAATTTCATGTTCCTGCGCACATCTCTTTGTTCCAGCCTGCGGCCTGATCTTGTCGAGCAGTTTGCCCTGTTAACACGTGAGTCAAGATTTTGTAGAAGATCCCACCAAAGGATCAAGCACATAAAGAAACATACCTCTTGGTTTGGGGTATCTCTCAACAAAACCTTCTACTTCTTCTCAGCCAGCCATGCTGTCCGCTTCCTGCTCAGGACTTGTGATCTTGTTGATATTCAGTGAGTAATGTTTACCCAGAACTTCTGAGATGTTCTATTCCTTAGCTTTAGGATGACCTTTCACCCCTTCCAAACTGGAATCTATGTCTCTTCTATTGCCAGTATAACGAAGCCTTTCCTTTTTTTTAAGGAAGGACCTATGGAGACTCGGTGACCCAGACAGAAGGTCCAGTCACCCTCCCTGAGGGGGCAGCTCTGACATTAAACTGCACTTATGAGAGCAGGTATACAGTTTTTCTATTCTGGTATGTCCAGTATCTAAACAAAGAACCTCAGCTCTTCCTGAAAAGCTCAGAAAACCAGGAGATGGACAGCAGAGGTTTTCAGGCCAGTCATGTCAAGAGTGACAGTTCCTTCCACCTGGAGAAGCCCTCCGTGCAGCTGTCGGACTCCGCGGTGTACTACTGTGCTCTGAGAGGCACAGTGGGAGGGACTGCAGCGAGAGCGCAGCACAAAACCCCGGGGCCTGGGTGGGGCCTGGGTGTGAGCGCTTTGGGAGGCAGCATTATTTTCCCTCTCTGGGGTTCTATGCTGGAGGCTTCCTCCAAGTATTTCCAGCTCTGATTCTTCAGTGCCAAGGAATCATGGAGATCTTGGATTCCTCCCCACAGAGGAATTGGGGGTGGGGGGGGAACAGTCTAAAGCAGAACCTAAGCTCTGTTATCAGAGAAATGCCTCTGTCCTCAGCCCAGATGTCTCTTCTTCCCCGAGATGGCATACATTCCTGATAAGTGACATTAACTTTGCTACGTGACAGTTCAGTTGGTCTGTGGTGAAATACTTCACAACCTGTTTATACAAACTCTAAGGGAAAACAGTTCGTGGACTAAATGTGCCACCTTGAATCTACTCTCTTGTGTTTACAATTGAGACCAAGGTTGTTTGTCTTGCTGAGTTCCACCTGCAGAAACTCCATCTCCAGCGACTGCGGCATTGATCCTCTCTTCCCTTGACTTTTCCATCTCTTCTGGTTGCTTACAAATTCTGCTACCTGAGTAAGTTCTATGAGGAGAGTGTCCTGATGAGAGGTTTAACTTGTGTCATCGGCACTGTGGTTTCTGAACAGCCCAGTCAGTAAAGGCTGCGTCCATGGCATGTTGTGCCCACACTGCTTACACCCCTCCGCGCCGATCTTCCTGTTGACCTGGCAGCTGTTTATTGTAACACTAAATCGTGACCTGGATTTCTGACTTGAGGATCTGTGTTATGAGAAATTCCGGATTTGGGACATGACTTTAACTGCAGGAACGAACGTATTATTTTTATCATTGCATTTATGCCCATGAACCTTCTAAAGTGCATCAAATTTAGCAGCCAAGAAAGACTGTTTATAAAAAGGGAGAATGAACATGGACTCTTGTCCACTGGGACCCCCAAATGGATAAAATAATCTCATATTTCTCTACATCAAAGAGCACAAAACAGAAATGTGTCCCCCTCACTGAAACTGTTGGGATGTAGCTCACCATGAGAAACTTTTCCTAATATTCTGGAGCCCTGTGAGCCTTGTTTGTCTTTTACGTATCCTGCATGATTCTGTGAGTTTTACACATAAAGATACAGGTTTTGTGGGGCCTGATGCTTCTTTGATTTCTGGGGCTCTCTTTAAGAAAAAGAAAATTAAATTATGAATATAAGTTTCTAGGTACTGAGGTAGAAAGAAGCCCTAAAATCAAAACCTAATATGCTTCATGGTAAATCTGCATTTGGAGTTCCATAGAGATCATCTTCTTTAAGACTGAAATATTATAATAGTCTCAGTTTGTCCTGATAGTGGGAGGTTCCCTAACCCCCAGTCCTCTTTTCCACAGCAGCACTAGGATCGCTTTAGCCATCATTAATATGAGTATTTTCACCTCCATCATAAAAAAATAGCATTATTGGGATATAATTCGCATACCTTAAACTGCATCTTTTAAGACTGTAATCCAGTGGTTTTAGAATATTCACAGTTATCCAATCATTATTGTGATCTAATTCCAGAACATTTTCACCACCTCACAAAGAAATTCTGTGCCCACAAGCAGTCACCCCCATTTTCTTATCCTAGTCATTAATTAAATAAAAATATAGATTTATGAAGAATTATAACCCCAAATTTTGATGAACCCAGTCTTATGTAAATATAGGACCTTTCATGAACCTTATCTAGAGGGATGAAACATCAGTCCTGATATTTAAGACTGCAAGGAGTTTCATGACTGTGATGCAAAGGACAAAGGCCAGTGGAGACTGAGCTTTGCTGGTATTTCAATAGGATTTCTATTGTTTTTGGTAATGCTCTGGTTACAAATTATATATTTTTGGGTTTTTCCCTATTCTAATCTCCACCATAATTAATGTGTGTGAATTGGACTAACAGGGGGATTTTCAGGAACACACATATTGAGTTATAACAGAAACTGCTGCATCTGAGCAGTGAGTAGAATTTTTGGAATTTATTTTTGTTTACACACAAAAAATATGCATGCAAATAAGCATGTATGTATTTTTCTCTGCTGTTACTTGACATAGCAAACACTGAACAGATTTGGTGACTCAGGAGATATGATGTGAAATCATTTATTAACAATAAACTATTTCTTCACCTCTCTTTTTTTTTTT